CTAAGTGGAAATCAAGCTATATTATAATGCATGACCCACATAAACATGATAATAAAGCATAATGTCCCAGAAAATCACATCATCTTAGTACTCTGAAATATATTTTAAATGTGTGCTAGCAAACTGAAATCATTTTTCAATCTTTTGAACAATTAACGACGGTGTATTACGTGTAACTTTCGAAGAATAAATGTTTTGTAATAGCACTTTTCTTATTGCCTTGTGACTAACAACAATATTAAATAGCTTCTCCAGACCTAATGCCAATGATCGTAAGGAAATTAAAGGATTTTTATCAATTATTCGCAATACTCTTCTTATATGGCGATCAGACAATGGTTTAATACGGTGGCCTGCTGGTTTTAAACTAATGCAATCCTCATTTTCTGTTTTGTTTATGATATTATTAATTGTTCTTAACCTAATATTAAACGTTAGACTTTATTCCTTAGCAGATTTACCGAGGTAGTAATTATAACATAATAACTCAATATTATTTGAATTTGTTCTTTTACAGGCCATATTTAATCACGTGTATTCTAGTTATTCCTTCACTTAAAACACTCTACTTTATTAAATAACAAAGAAATTGAACAGTTTTTGCAGAATATTAAAACAAACAGAAAAACCCAGACACATCGAACGGTATTCTGTCCCGTTAAAAATAAGAAATTGCAAAATTGCAAACACAATGTTGACACAACAAATTTGGTGTTATTTTTGTTTTTGTGAATTATTTTATTGTTCTAACGATATTTTTGATTAATTTTTAGTTTAATATAAAGAAAAATGTTTAAATTAATTGTAAACTTTTTAATTTTTTTTTTATTTCAAAATTAAATCGTTTTTATTGGGCATTTAACAAATATTTGTAGCATTTTTTCGTTTTGCAAACACAATGTTGACAAACTGTATATATATGTAACCTCTAAGGGACATGAGTTTCAAACAAAATGGGTACCTTCTCTCGATTTATACGGTTTCAAACTACACGATTGTTGAGTAATTCTTTTGAGATAGAATACCTGATATTCCATTCTGTTACCTGAGTATGTCATATTGGCTAAGTTCTGTTAAAACTGTGCTTATACTAGATGATGATTTATACTAGATCTTAGTCTGAGTACCTTTCCGTTTTATATTAGATATACATCAGAAATACAGACAGTGAAATTAAGTGTGAACTAAATCTACAATAAATTATGAACTAAACAGAAACTAAGCACTACAGAAAATTCCTATGTGGCTTTCACACATCCATCTCAAAATCCTGCTAGTGACTAGATAATAAACCTCAACACTGCGTCTTTTTTGGTTCATCACATAAAAACCTTCCCTCAATAAACAGAGCACCTTTAAACGGGAGGTACCCTCCTTCGGTACTGTCATGCATCTATCTTCAAAGCCTGGCTTTATCGCTTACCCACCAGTTTCGTGCGGAGCTGGCGTCAAGTCATATAAGTTTAGCACCAATTTCTGTCATGGTGCGTTTTCTAATTACTCAATGGAATGACTGACAATAGTGCCGTGGCATTAAACTTAGCACTAAGTTTAAGAAGTTCTACGTCATTGCTACTTTAAGTGTTTAAGTTCACATATATCTACTAATACGGATATACAGAAGAGGGATATCTGTTCACAGAATATTTAAAGAGTGCAATTGAATAAGCAAAATGAATGCTTTCTGCTTAAAAAGTTGGTCCAACCCTCATTAGAAATGCTCTAAGGGCAACCTTTGCTCATTGCTCTGAAAATGTTATTTCAATGAAGCTTGGGCGTCAATTGATTTTAACAACAACGACGGTACAATTACCGATAATAAATAGAAAAAAGAAATTGCATTTATGAAACTACACATAGATGTTCTTAAGAGAAATCATCATTCTCATCTTGTATCAACCCTATATCAACATGATTTACTATATCTTGTGTTCAGCTGATCCACAAAATCCACAGCGAAGACTTGAATTATTTCTGAGCCCTTCATTTCAACGAAGGACTGAGAAGAAGTAGAGTTCTGAGTTACTAACAGCTACTGAAGATTGGCTTTTTTCACCCTAAATGAAAGTATCTTCCAATTAGCATTATTCAACCACAGTACGGTATTATTGATGTTTTATCGAGCGATCCATAGACTTCTAGAACAATTATCTACTCATAAAATCGTGGTTACGATTGGCCTTTTAAAATCGGACTTGCAACTAAAAAGCAATGTTTAGTGAAGATAAACCTGAAGTCTTCATTTTAATAAAAACATTTACTGTTTAGATGTTTTGGTACACAAATATGCCAAGCCTACCTGAACTATGTCTACGGTACATAACATTTGATCACTTTCGAAAGAAATTATTTGGAGTTTCTATATTGGTTTGTTATTAGACGATGACTTCAATGAAAGCATTATTTATTCATCTGCATTGGAGGAGGGATTCAATCTAAAATTATTATATTTACTACTGAATCATTTTAGTGTTTCGCAGGTTGACATTGATTTTCCTTTGACTTAAACTACTCTGAAGGTACGCGGTAGAACATCCAATATGGATGTGTTTTAGTCTATATTAATATTTACTTGGTAGAACGTAATCGTGAAGTATTATATCACATATTTGTAATGAAACTGTGGCCGACCCCTTTCTGACAAACTTCGCAATTTTCACTCTTATTTTTGCTGGTTTTCCTATTGAATATTATTGTCTTGTCAGTTTATTCGAATTTAATTAGGAATTATATTTATTTGTAATTTTTTTTTGTTTATTTCTATTTTTTTTTACTTAATTACAAAACATATAGATTTATCATTAAGAAATACAGGTTTATCAATCTGCTTTTATAATAGGTCTTTTCCACGAGCTGCTCGTAGTAACTTTGAGTAACTCTGTGTATACACAAGTGCGTTCCACTAGCAAATTTTCGAGTAAATGAGAGTATCTGAGAGAGCGTAACATCCCTGTCAAAATTTGAAAATGTTACACAGACTTTAGTCGTACATTTTATTTCAAGTAAAATTTGTGTGATGTGTGAATCAGCCGTTTTGGTTTGAATTCATTTTTGAAAATATTGTGTATTTTCGCGGCACTGGTGTTCTCACCAAATTTTACACAAAGTTGTTCCATGAAAATCTGTGGGAAGAGCGTTATTTGGCACTTTATTTATGTTACGTTATCAGTTTGTACTTTACTTGTGTTTTATTTGAGTTTTACTACGAGTAGCCGGTGGAACAGTCCTATTATTACTTAATTGAAACAAAGTAACATAAAGAGTAATGTCATGTTTTCACAGCAGCTTAAACTACTTAAGTTAATGAAATTTAGATTTGGTCGTTTCCATTGACATTAGCTAATTTAAGCATATATAATAGCTTATTTGTTTACATTTTACATATAAAACATATGACAAATATTTCAAATTTCGGTAGTTATTTTTTATAGACAGATGTCTTGAGTAGTGGTGAATTACGACTGCTCAACTATGTCTTAATTAGTTGAGTTTTGAAAATCTATTTTTATGTACATATTTTTGCCATTAATTTAATAATAATTAACATATAAATTTAATTTCCAAAGTCAATGAAAATATGTATTATTAGGGTAAATTTTTTCTTGCCGATAATGGCGTGTCGAAAGAAACTATTTATGACGAAAGAAACTATTTAAAAGTTAGACCGAATCGGTCTTTGCTATTCGAATCGGTCTAACTTGAAAATATGTATTTTTGTAGAACGATGTCATGAGCAATGGTGAATTACGATAACAAAATTTTAATTTTTAATTAGTTGAATTTTGAATATGGCCGAATCAGACCACACACCTGTTTTGTATATTCTCAAATATTTTTTATCAATAGATATTTGTATATTAAGCCCGTGTGCGAATACGAGTAAATTGAAGTAAAATAAATTGAAATATCCTTGCGATTTTTTGCAGTGCACTTATGTAAATATTTATTTATTTATTGCACTTATTATTTTTGGTTAAAAGTTTTCAAATTTATTTATTTATTTATTAAATATATAAATATCTTGGTCTCGCCCGTGCGACTAGTAGAGTAACATTAGCATGACTTTCTTATTAGGTTCTGATTAGAACAGAATAGTATTGAAATTTAACAATTAAAAATAAAAATATAATTTATTAATTAATTCAATTATTCTACAACTGGTTTATGATTTCGTTTTAATATAAACACAGCAAGTAAAATTGTTAATAAAAGCTTTCATAGCAAAAGTAACAAAACTCCAGAAATATATGCGAACATAAGAAGTCAAGTACGGCTTTGAATCAGTTGATTAAGGTGCGCTGATTCTGAGCTTCACATTTGGCAGGACCCGAGTTCGATTCCTGGTACTTGCAGTCTCAAAAATAATTATTTACAAATAATTTTATACAAGAATTATTTCCTAGACCACTGATGATGGGTATTTGGCAATACTCGAAACAGTTGTATGGTCAGCCAAAAATTCAATTGATTAAAATAATATAAAAAATAAAATTTTTGTTATTTTAGTTCACTACTGTTCGAAAAAACCTCTTTATTAAATATCTTATAAAATTTTCACAATTGTAGCACCTAATTTACCTAACTTTTATCTAATTTACCATACTCGAAATAAATATTAACATTTCTTCCCATACCGACACAATTTACCATATCCCTCAATTTACTATCAATTTATTCGAACTCGCACTAGGCCTAAGTAATGTTTTTTTGTTTTTAATTTATTAATTTTGATTAATATTTATTTTATTAATAACTAATATTAATATAATATAATTTATTAAAGGCGGTTTAAGCATTTTCACTAAAAGAATAATGAAATTCAAAGGTAATTCATGCACCAAAAAGAATTTGTTTGCCTCACTACAGCGTTTCCTTTCTTGTATATTACTTTTTGGTCAGAACGATTTTCAATTCTAGACGAAAAACGCTGAATTCGCCTTCGTCGTTGAATTATATTTAACGAAAAATAAAAGCGCGGCGAACATTTTAAACCATTTGCTTCAAAACGATTTTGCAACGGCAGAGTAAGCATCGATAAGAGTAAATTGGAGTTGAAGCGTATTTCGTGTGATATATTAAAAGAAATCTTGACTTCCTTGTGTTATATGTTTTATATTTGTTTAAACTTTAATTAATCAACTCACAAAAGCTATATATAAATTTTATATAGATCTATAAAATTTAAGTTAAACGGAATTAGTAAATAAAACTGGTCGAAATGAGTGCAATTATTGGAGTAACAAAAATTAACATCGACGAGGTAAGTGAGGTTTTATTTATTCACCGAGAAGTGATGGCGACGCCATTACTTTCGCACCGATAAATCCCGTTTGCCTCAACTCACATATTTTTTATTGCTTGCGGTACATTATTAAATATTCATTGCGGTATATTTGCGCTAAAGAATATGAGAAATAAACAATAAAAGAAGTATCTGAAATACCGTTTGTAAATTGTTTTGCAGAACGATGCAGAAAAATACAACAAAACTAAAAAGGCTCAATCAGCAGTCGCTGATAACTTGAAGCGCGCTGCATTGGGTGATTTGCAAAATCGTGCGGTGTTGCGTCCCACTTCTGGAAAGGATGCTGTACAAAAAAGGTAAGTCACTCTCGATCGAGGTGTGTAGCCGTAAGTAGTGAAAAAACGGCAAGCAGAAATTTCATTGCATTTATTGGAAAAAAAATTCGGTTTTTAAAATATTTGTCTTCCTGATTTTTAATACAAACAGTACGGCGAACGCTAAGCTACAGGGTGCCTTGCGCGGTACGAAAGCACGTGTTGATAGTAATTGGAAGAAAACAACATTGACCAGTTCTACAACCAACGTGGCTCAATTGGAGAATAATAATGCGATAACCCAAGCCATACAACGCAGAGTTGTAACTCGTTCAAGTTCTGTGCGCGTGAACACCAATGTTCCTGTCGAGCAAAAACCTAAGACGTTGCCCACAAAGGCGGTAGAAAATAAACAAGCAAAGTTGGAAGGTAATATATGGAATTGCTTGACTTTTAGGTAATGCGCTTATACGTTTAATTCTAGTTGCCAAAGTAAGAACCACAAAGGTTGTTGAAAAAGCCCAATTAGTTTCCATTTTGCCTAAATTACGTAGGGAAGATAGTCAGTTATCGCAAATATCACTGAATAAAATAAAAGCTGCCATTTTGCGTGATGCAAACAAGGTAATGAACCAGAATTGTAAACCCACAGCTACAGCTAAAGTAAACGCACAACCAGCAAAAACTGAAGTAGAAAATGCCGTTGTTAATAACACCGCTAAAGAGGTCAAGGAGAAAGAGGAAATGCCTTTGCAAGACCCCATATTATTTAAACCTTTATCGCATTCCACAAAACTATTAAGTGATGTCGAAGATATAGATGCAGACGATACCAATACCTTGATACTTCTCTCAGAATATGTTAACGACATATATGATTATCTGTATAGTTTAGAAATCGAACTCCCTATAGCAAAATATCATCTTGAAGGCCAGGAGGAGGTTTCTCCCAAAATGCGTGGAGTACTTGTAGATTGGATAAATGAAGTACATTTGCAATTCCATCTGGTACCTGAAACATTCCAAATGACAGTAGCTATCATTGATCGTTATTTGCAAAATGTTAAGGATACGAAACGTTCACAATTGCAACTTGTTGGAGTAACAGCCTTGTTCATTGCTACCAAATATGAGGAACTGTATCCTCCTGCTTTAAGTGATTTTGTATATATTACCGATGATACGTATAATGCTAAGCAGATTTTACAAATGGAATTAAAAGTTTTCAAAGCAATCGATTGCAATTTATCACGGCCATTGCCAATACATTTCTTACGTCGCTATTCAAAAGCTGCCAAAGCTGAAGACAGTCATCATACAATGGCTAAATATTTTTTGGAACTAATTTTGATTGAGTATGAAATGGCATCCTACAAGCCATCGGAGGTTTGTAACAATTTTTTTTATATTATTATTATCACTATGATATTATTGGATATCGCTAGGGACGTATAAGAATTTGGAATATAAGAATATATAAATTTATAAATATCCGGTTATAACTATATTTATTTGGTTTTTCATTTTTTTTCGTTTTTGTTTATTTTCTATTTTTCGTTTTTCTTTGTTTTTCCTTTTTGGTTTCTCTTTATTTTTCCTTTTTGGTTTTTTTTTGTTTTTCCTTTTTGGTTTTTTTATTTTTTTTGTGTCTTTTGTTTTTTTTTTTGTACCTTTTGTTTTTTATTTTATCTATTTTTTTATACATTTTGTTTTTTATTTTATTTTATTTTTTTTGTACATTTTGCGTTTTTATTTTATTTTATTTTTGTTGTACATTTTGTTTTTTTATTTTATTTTATTTTTTTTGTTCACTTTGTTTTTTATTGTATTTTTTGTTTTTTATTTTTTTTTGGGTTTTTTTCATTTTTTTTTTTGGTTTTTTTTATTTTTTCTAGTTTTTTATTTTATTTTTCGTTCATTTTTTATTTTATTTTTTGTTTTTTTGTTTAATTAATTCTTTTTTCTTTTTTTTTTATTTAATTATCCTTTTGTTTTTTATTTAATTATCCTTTTGTTTTTTTAATTTAATTATCCTTTTGTTTTTTCATTTAATTAACCTTTTTTTGTTTTTTTTATTTAATTAGTTTTTGTTTTAATTTTTTTTTTTTGTACTTTTTCATTGTATTCTTTTTTGTTTCTCATTTAAATTTTTTTTTGGTTTTTTATTTTATTTTTTCTTGTTTCTTACTTTGTTTTTTTACTTTATTTACCCTTGGTTTTGTTTTTTTTATTTTATTATTTTTTGTTTTAAATTTTACTTTATTTTATTTTTTTTTTGTTTTTCACTTTTATTTTTTTTTTTTGGTTTTTTCTTTTATTTTTGTTTTTATTTTATTTTTGTTTTTATTTTATTTTTGTTTTTATTTTATTTTTGTTTTTATTTTATATATTTTTTTCTCATTGTATTTTTTTATTTATTTTTTTTGTTATATTATTTCTGTATTTTTTAAATCTATTTATTTTGTTTTTTTTTTTTAATTTGCGTCTATTTGTATGTTTTTTGTGTTCTATTTTTTCTGTTTTTTTTATTTTGTTCTATTTTTTTTGTTTTTGTTTTCTTATTCTATTTTTTCCGGTTTTTTTGTTCTATTTCTTTCGGTTTTTTTATTCTTTTTTAGATTATTTCTTCTGTTTTCTTGTTCTAGTTTTTTTTGTTTTATTTTTTCTATTTTTATTTAATTTTTATTTTATTTTTTTTGTTGTTCTTGAATAAATCGCCCCCAAGAAATACTTAACAGAGACGGGTGCGTGATTGCTTGCAATACATACATGTTCATTTAGGAAAGAAAACTGGTCCTACTTAACTGATAACTTAAGAAAAAATTATGGTCGCTTTTTAGAAGAAGTATAAGTACTAAAAACAAAGTTTATTTTCAGTTGAAGGCGTCGAATATACAGTTCTATTATCATCAAAATTTTCATAGTCATAACTTAAGTCTCTTAAGTCATAAGTTAAGTCATACTTAAGTTATCAACTTGCTAATTTCTTTTATACTTAAGTCAGTTTTAAGAGTTAAATGACGACTGTGAAACTAATCCTAAGAATATCAGAAAGAGTGAGAACTTAAAACATTATTACATAGCAACCTTAATCTAAATCTAGCAAAACCTAAGCAATGCAAAACTAAGTTCCATGACCTGTTCCACCCTCAAGGCATGTTTGACAAATTGGATCTGTGATGAAACCCATAGTCGCCAAGTAGTGTCCACTTGTATTGTTTTCCTTGATAACTCCCATTAGTACTTTTAGGTCCTTTCTCTTTAATTAATTTCGATAGCTTATAGTCATATTCTTTTGCAAAGTTTTTAGTTATCTTGTAAGCATTCATTCGGACCACCATTTTTTTTTTTTTGTAAGTAGAGTTCACCACAAGAACCTGCAGAGTTAACGCATTTACTAAGTTATTAGCCAATTCATTAAGTACGACAACACAGTCACCAGAAACTCATATGTGTATTTCGTAACGCTGTTTCCTTTAGTTTTAACATTCACTGATAATCTCTCTGAGAAACTCAGGGGTTAGCCAGAGGTTTAAGTTATGTAGTCCATTTTATTAGGAAAAATAAACAAAAACAAATTACATGCTAAAGAATAGACGAAACCGGTATGACATTGTATAATTTTTTATATACTTTCTTGTGAAGTCCTTTTCGAAGGTGTCGAACGGCACTCGGTCGTCGTTGATGACGAGTAGCTCCGGGACGTAGACGTAATTTTTCTCTATTTCTGAATACATAATATATATTATCAATTTTTAAATGAGTGTGATGAAACAAATTAATAAATAAAATATTTTTGTAGATTGCTGCAGCAGCGTTATTTTTGGCGCTGCATTTGCTGAATGGAAATCCAGAAGAAGCAACTGGTTTCGATGACTCACACTGGACTCCTACATTGGTCCATTACTCACGTTTAAATGCAATTGATTTACATTCGGTAACTAGAAAAGTCGCTGCTATTGCACGAAGAGCTCCAAATATAAAATTAAAGGCTGTTTACACCAAATACCAATCATCAAAATTCGACAGAATGTCGCTACGTACTGAGCTCTACAGTCCATTGATAGACTCCATCATTTGCAGCGATTGAGATCTTTTTCTAAACTATCTTATTACTCTTTACTCTTTAATTTAGCACAATTCGTTATTTTATTTTTCATATATGTATTTTAATTTACTACATTTCATCCTTAATTTTATATAGTTTATGCCTTGTTATATTTTGTTAGTTTAATATTAGAATATTTAACTTAACAACAAGTGCTGAAAGATTACACCAGAAAGAGGAGAAGGATGAAGGATCAAATGCGACGTGACACGAATAAGTGGCAATATTCTATGTTTTGTAAAAGTAAAATGTAATATTCAATGTTGCTTGTTCCAGAAACTAATTTTAATTATAAGAAAACTCTTAAGTACCAAGTTTAGCCGAAACATCCAAACATTGATATCAATTTATCCAACTTGGTATGAGACAAATCACTGACGACTAGAAAGTCTGAGTTTTGTAAAAGTCATAATTTATATATTTTCTCTTGCGTTTTATTAATTACTTTCATGCGATTTAAGAGAATTATATCTTTTATAATTTTTACGACTGAATTTAGTAAGTATTTTGTGCTATTAAAATACTTGAAAACAATTTATTTATTTGATTGTAAGTTTTAGTTTTTAATATAACTAAAATTATATTTTAAAAATGTTTAATAAAGGTCAATAAATAGAATTCGAATTTTTTTTTTGATACTTTCAAGAACAGAAATTGAGTAGAGAACATTACCTATATACACATCCATGCTTCGCTATATGGCCTAGATGAGTAGCTTCTAAGCTAAGTGTACACAATTCGATCCTCTTTCTATTGCACTTACTCACCTACAGCCCAGATTCTTTTTGCAAAGTTTCGTCTTAACTTAAGAAAAACTATTTAACCAAAAAATTATATATGTAACGATATAACAAAATGGCGTATGACTAGCTCTCTAAATTCTGGAATCGACTATACTTTTAATAATTATTTAATCATGTTATACTTATGTATATCTACATATTAATAATGCATAGGCGTATGTATATATATAGTCTCACAATTCATTGCAGCTGAGATCTCAGCTTCTCAAAACCCCTTCCTGGAGACGTAATTAAGTCTACAAATATTTTTAACATAAAAAACAGGGTCTTCATGTATAGCTTCCAGAGCCTATTATAAGAAAAGTTTTAAAATTACATATTGCTACGTGGGTCCCCTTTGATATAGTGATGAAAATTAGAATTTTTTGCTTTTGGTAGAGTTAAATATAATATATAAAATAACACAAAACTATTTCAGTTAAAAATTAATTTTATAATTAAAATTATTACCAAATTATATACGAATGTAATTAATTACTAGTAAGTAATTTAATTAAACACTAACTAGTTTTCTGTGCTTATGTTCGGTGAAGGGAGTGTTATAAGCTGATATCCCATTATTTTTGATTAAAACAATCTATAGAAATCAAAAGACCCGTCCAGTCATGCTATGGTTCATTAGTATCACTGCATATATTTATTAATGAATAATTATGATGATTTATAAAAGTTAAAACATTTGTTAGGCTAGGTTATATCAGCGATAAAGAACGGGTAGCCTTTCTCGTTTGCGGAACTGCAAGTGGAACAAAAGTAAAAGAATCCTTGTCCTCTTATAAGTCTTGGTGCAATGTTTTTCGCATTTCAGTGAAAGAAACAAGAATGGATTACAATTGAATTACCTGATATAGGACAGGTCACTGTCACTGAAGTATTGTGAAAGTGGAGAACACTTGAGCAGTTAATAGTTTTATTCAACTGTAATGAAGAAAATGGTATAGAACTTCAAAATGTACTTGTTCAAAGATCTTTGTGAGAAAAACGTGTTGACCCCACAACCATGGCTTAACAAAAAGAAATTTAAAATGATATTGACTGTGACCAAGTTTCATTATACTGTCTCAAAAATCATCAAGTTGACTTGATAAACCTTTTCTAACATAATTGTGTGTACATGATATTGAATATACACATACTATTAGTAACCTGAGTGCCATAGTCGTCACACGATTAAGCCGTAGTCACTGGTGTCACTATATTTAAATGTGAAAAATATGGTTGAGTAGGACTGCGTTTGTTTAAATATCAGTAAATAACATTATACTTTATTCAATATGATTATATATAAACAGTTATCAAGTATTACAAAGTTCCCAATCTGTTAAAAATCAATCTATTCGTCTATAAGGTACTACAGTTAGTGATTGTTGCTTAATAGTGCACTGGAATTTAGAAAAGGAAATATACTTTCAAATCTAAATACAAAGATTTATATCTTGAATCCTGAATACCTAACTTGAGTAGCGATAATAATATCAAGATTATTCCTTCACTCTCTTTGGATGATCAGTCTTAACAGCAAAATTTTAACTCGTGTGTGTCTTAATTTTAATCTAATTTATTGGTAGAGTCGTAGAGGATTTGATATAAAAATAAAGTATTTGTATTTCCATTCACAATATTTAGGAACTTTGGATTTTTTATTATAAAATAATAATAATAATATATTAATACTACAGTTTGAATATTGGCTACAGTTCTCAACGCCGTTTAAAGTCACTTTACCCAAGAAGGTTTTTTTATTTTGAAGAAAACAATTATCACAGACAATATATATTATATGTATATGTATAATTATATTATGTACATACATACATTTTATATACATGCATATATAAGTTAATATTTTATATTTTTATTTAAAAAATAAAAAACATTTAATTTTTATTTTCTTAAAACGGGATTACTTTATTAGACTGAAATTGACCCTACAACGGTTGATGTTAAACTCTACTCTGGATTGAAAATCGGAACAATATATTTAAATCTTAATTCTATTTACTCTCTTTAAATCCTTCAGCTTTTTTGTGACCCTAACTGTCACTTGACGGCTTGACATCTGCGGGCCATGATCTTAGATGATACTGTGTTTATATGAAGTGTCATTGTTCGGTTAACTTATATTTGATATATGTTAGTACACGCTTATGCATTAAGTTATATATACACATATAAATAATATATATATTAGTATATATATTATAGTATATATACTACAGGTATATTGTATATATGTATATATATAAATAATATATGTATGTATTTATTGCATAGTAAAACATATTAAATGAAGTTATCAGCTTATAATGTTAATATCAGTTATATCGGAATTATTGGAATTATCTTTCGATATTTAATAAAAACAAATGTTATTACAGAATTTTCTACAATTAGAATCCTCGTCACGCTCCGCATATTTCACTAACAGAAAATCAGAAATTTTACTCAAAGACTTCGAATGCGGGCTGGGCTCCAAACAAAAAATTTGTGCCAAAAATCCAAAATTTAAATAAAAAAAAAATAAATAAATTTTGAGTAAATTACATTGTCAGAAAACGTCCCAAAATTAATTGAAGTGAAAAATTAAGCAGAAATTCTTCAGAAACATTTTTGTGTTTGTTGTGCGGCTCTTATGTGCGCAGCGTGATGTGTGATGTGCCGGTTGCCGTCGATTGTGGATTGTGCCACCACACATAAAAAGTGTCGAAGTAATGACGCTCATAAAACCGTCAAACTTGAAATTCGAATAGGAGCGCAGCCCCAGCAGCGAGTATCAGCGAGTGGCAACGAATGTAGCGAACTGAAGCGAAGCGAAGCGCATTGCTGTTGTCTGTTTGTGCGCATCGAGCGAATCTCAGGCAAATCACACAAATGAATTGATACGTAGCACCGAGCAACGAGTAAAGTAGGAAGAAGACAGACGTTAAGGAAGGAAATGTGTGTGTGTGAAGTGTGATTAGGCAAACTGACCTGCCTTATAGCAACAATGTTTGTGGGTATTCTGCCAGTGGCAAACAGGAAAGGAAAGGGAGGTGAGAGATGTCCTTTTTGGAAATGAGCATAATCTGCTAAAAAAAACAGTGGAAAAAATTTGGAATATGTGTCCTAACAACCACTGCCAATAGCAGAAATTACAAAGATGTATCAATTTACTCTGTACACCATTAGAATTAGGAGATATTCCAGATGTACTTTATTGCGTGAAATTTTGTGGTTTATGTAGAAATGCTTATCAAATTTAGGTTTAAAACTTGAGAATATTCGTGATACTTGTGAATATTTGTATTGACCCAGGAGAAAATGCGGGAACAATAATACACTGTTCGAAAAAATTGATAAGCTAAAAATTTTTTGTTTATATAAGTTAACACATATAAAGTTAACATAATGAATGGATATGCAGACGATGGAATGCATAGCAAAATGATCACTAAGCATTTTCCCACCGCGTAACCCTACACTAGCACGAGCGTCCACAAAAAGCTGACACTTTAAATTAATGAACTTGTCCGGTGCAATATTAAAATAATTTTAAAAATTGTGATTTAGTTTAAAAAGAGAACTCAATAAATAAGGTATTCTTTGGGATAACCAAAAAATAAAAAACAGCTGTTTCTTTTTTGGTACCTTTAAACAAAACATCCCATAACTTATACATAATAAATAACTTTCATGAAAGTAATTGAATTTTTTTTTATTACAAGGCCACATGCGACCTGCGTCTAATGTTTGTACGGCCAGCGACTTGTTTATAATCTACTACAATTACAGAAATTTTCTTTTGGTGTATTGGTAAAACCACATTATTTTATTTTCATGGTATAGCAAATAAATTAATTTGGACTGATAAATTAATAAAACCAAATTTAACATTACAGCCGTTACAGTAGTTTTCTTTATGTCGAAAATAAGTTAGTGCCATCCAATCTACAGTGATTTGTATTGGCTCGCGATCGCATCTGCTCTGGACAGCACTGTTCTAGACAATAAATCTACTTTGAGCAAAATTAATTTGGGAATATAAAATTTGCTACTGGGCTATTAAGCACAGTAGAGTAGCCAGTTTGTAGGAAAGGGATATATTCTTTAAGGCTAATCTATTCTAGAAATTAATACATATTTTAGATAAGTGGATATACGTATATATTCTTCGTTGAGGCACGCTTAAGCATATACTTTTCTACAACTAGATAACAGTGACATGATAAGGAAATTTTATTTTAATTATTTATTTGTCTAGTGCAGTTAACTAGCACTTTTTTCTTTTTATTTTCGTGGTAAATGAGTTTCAGTTGGCTCTTTTTATGCTGTATATGTATTTTGTTCTTTGAATGAAGAAACACTATAACAAGGCCCTAATAGCTAGCGTTCGGTTTTTCTGTCTTAGTTATAAGATTTTATATTTTGTAATTAATTATAATAAAAAAAAATAACAATTTAGGTGGTTTTATAGAAGTATTGTTTGAAGTCCACAATGTATGTGGACTGGAATGTATATTGCAATTGCTTTAGGAGCGTGCAGTTCTGAATTAATGGCAGAACCCTCGAATCAAACAATTTTAGCGCCCTGTCTGTGATGTACTTTTATACTCTCGCCTCTCAAGTCTTTGTGCATATCTTTATTCCTAATATATTGGCCTTTATACACACACCTCAATACAAGATACTTATATGTTTGAAGTATACTAATGGTGGCTAGAGCAACATTGTCATAAGATACACAACTATAAAGTAATTTAGCTTTAATGACTTATTTATAAAGCAGACTTTAATTTTTCATGCTAAACTTTCAGAGAATATACCATAGAGTTATTTTACAAGCCAATTTTTGACCCTTATGTCCTCTAGCCAAGTGTATTTTGTTTCAAAAGTAAGACCTTTCAAATTATCTTATTAATCTACTTCCACATTATTGATTATTATTTAATTGTATTGTATGTACCCGTGTTTAAAGTAAGGAGAGCATTGACTGCGTGTGTGACTAGAGTGATGAGTTTTTATGAATTTTTCTGATCTAAAACATAAAATTTTTATTATGTAAATAATAAAGAATTCACTTAGCTTATCTGCAGAAACATTTATATTTAAAAATATAAATTTTGAAGACATAAGACTATTACAGTTCATATCAAAGATAATTAAATGGAGCAAATATATCCATGTGATTATAAAACGTATGTTTCATATGAATTATGAAAATACATATATTGATCAGAACAATAAGAGTTCGTAAAAGTTCGCAAAATAAACCCAGTTCCTTTAGTTCTTTTAGCTATTTGATAACTATATAACATATTACCTTAGAGCGACAAGTTTCTCTCTTATGCTATTAAAATTTTTTATATAAATATATCAAAATTATAAAATATACTCTTAATTATCTAATTAATTCTAATTATTCTAATAATATCTAAAATTATTAGAATATCTTTTTAATATTTATAAAAATTAGATTAATTAGTTATTAGTTAATTAGCTATTAGATTAATCTAAACTTCCGGCAGACGGCTAAAATGCCATAGTTGTATAAGCTTTATGTATATTTATTATAATTATATATATTATAATTATTATATAATTTCGATGTAATATAATAACTTTAAAATGTAAAAAAGTAAAGTAAAAAAATAAAGCTACTACTACTACTACTCTTAATTAGACCCTTAGCCAAGTATTTACTTTGGTTTTTCAGTCATGCCATGACACATTAACAATAAATTGGCATACATGTACATACAGTCCTTCTTTTCGGGGGAAGCTTCAGCCTCTTCAGTTAGGTATATCTTCTTATTTCGCAGCAGTTATTAAATACTTAATGTTAAATAAAGATAGCACCGTATACTTCCTTGGCATTTTAATCACTTTTCCATTGCAGTTTATAAATATACAATCACTATTCTTATTTAGGATAATATAGATCGTACGAGCACATTTGCCCTTCAGATCTAAGTTTATGTATGCTTATAATTTTGGAAATTGTGCAAATCTTAGTGTACTTTAGATCAATAGCATCAATTTATGCCAATACTTATCATGCTACTATAATAAATTTATTTCAATAAATACTCATTTCCTTATTATAAAATATATTATATACATACATATTCGTTGAAGAAATTTAAAAAAAAAATACTAAATTGTAATAATTAATCAGATGATGCGTTATCATTTTGGAGTAGTGAAATTTTATTTGCACTATTCGCCATATATTCAAAAAATTAATATGATCTCTGAGATTAACAAGGGAACCTGATCAGATTTAAATAAAAACTTATTTTAAACTAAAATTCAATTCATAGTCTTACTTATTACAATGTAAAAGACACAAAGTCCGACCACTGAACCGCGTTTCAAGGCATCAGAACATTTTGCATAAACAATTTATGTTAGATTGAATCATGTAAAGTAAGAAACTAGGAATAAGATTCTTAAGTCAACTTAAAATATTTGCCCTTGCCCGGGTGCGGAAGAAATGGACCTTATGTTACAAATTTAAAAATCAATCAATCAAAATACTGTGCTATTTCTATAGTCCACCACATACTATTTGACATTGGCATTGCTCTCTTTAGAATAAAACATGAATTTAGGATTGTGTTATTTAAAAACTGTAGTTTATTATAATTTTAAGTTCCAACACTTTATCGTTACACATTCACAATTTTAATTTTAAGAATTAAAAGTACAATTCATCTACAATTCATCGAAATTCGAAGGATATCATATTTAATTTTTCAGTTTTATGTTCGTTAAACTTTGCGGCGCTCTCATATTTTAAAGAAGTTGGTGACGAATCTGCAGGAATTTGCACTACTCAAAGGCTGGTCTGATGCCAAGTTGGCAGTGTTCACTTATACAATTGCATTCGATAGAGAAAAACATGAAGATTTTAATTTAGTTTTTTTCAGTTTTTGTTTTTGTTTAACTTTTGTTTTATTGTATATCATTTTTCTCTTGATGAAACTTTATAATTAAATTATAACGTAAGTTATTAATTTTAACAAATAGTTAGCGACTTTGTTGGGTATCTTTTTACTTCTTCTTTATATTAAACTTTAAACGTATGTTGGTGTATATTTATAGTTATATATGCGTGTTATAAATTTAAGCCTGGAAGGTGGATAAGAATTTTGTTACGATGTCCTTCAATTTGGCATCAGCAGCTTCAGAGATTTTGCCTTCTTGGGCAATTTGGTTAAGTAAACCTTGCTCTGAGGTCTTAATGTGTTGCAAGAATTCCTTTTCGAACTTGGTGATCTTTGAGGGATCCATTTTGTCCAAATGACCACGTACACCACAGTAGATGACAGCAACCTAAGAATTTACAATTTTATAAAATACTTCTAATGAATAATTTATAAATTTTAGCTAAAACGTACTTGATCTTCAATAGCCATTGGTACATATTGGCCTTGTTTCAACAATTCAGTAAGACGAACACCACGGTTCAACAATTGTTGAGTGGCAGCATCCAAATCAGAACCGAATTGGGCGAAAGCAGCGACTTCACGATATTGAGCCAACTCCAATTTCATTGAACCGGCAACTTGTTTCATGGCCTTAGTTTGGGCAGCAGAACCGACACGTGATACAGACAAACCGACGTTAATGGCTGGACGAATACCCTTGTAGAACAATTCAGTTTCCAAGAAGATTTGTCCATCAGTGATAGAAATGACATTGGTTGGAATGTAAGCAGATACATCACCGGCTTGGGTTTCGATGACAGGTAAAGCAGTCAAGGAGCCACCGCCCATTGTTGGTGACATTTTAGCGGCACGTTCCAAAAGACGTGAATGCAAGTAGAATACATCACCAGGGTAGGCTTCACGACCTGGTGGACGACGCAACAATAGAGACATTTGACGGTAAGCCACAGCCTGCTTAGACAAATCGTCATAGATGATCAAAGCGTGTTTGCCCTTGTCACGGAAATATTCACCCATGGCACAGCCAGAGTATGGTGCCAAGTATTGCAAAGGAGCAGCATCAGAAGCAGTAGCTGATACAATAACAGAGTATTCCATGGCTCCAGCATCAGTCAATCGTTTTACGATTTGAGCAACAGTGGAACGTTTCTGACCGATAGCTACGTAGATACAGTACAATTTCTTAGACTCATCTTGACCGTCATTGAAACGTTTTTGGTTGATAATGGTGTCAATGGCAAGAGCAGTTTTACTGTAGTAAGGATAAAAATATTTTATTTATTTATTTTATGCATCAGATGTAACTGTTTTAACATACCCAGTCTGTCTGTCACCAATAATCAATTCACGTTGGCCACGACCAATTGGCACCAAAGAATCGACAGCCTTAATACCTGTTTGCATAGGTTCGCGTACAGATACACGTGGAATAATACCAGGAGCCTTGATACCAACACGGTAACGATTCTTAGTGTTAATAGCACCTTTACCATCAATGGTGTTACCCAAAGCATCGACAACACGACCCAACAATTCATCACCGACTGGCACATCCACAATAGCACCAGTACGCTTGACAATATCTCCTTGTTTGATCAATTTATCGTTACCGAATACTACAACACCAACATTGTCGGGTTCCAAGTTAAGTGCCATACCCTTAAGACCAGAGGAGAATTCCACCATCTCATCGGCTTGGATGTTATTCAAACCATACACACGAGCGATACCATCACCAATACTCAACACACGACCAGTTTCTTCTAAATCGGCTTTTGGGGCAACACCCATAATTCTCTCCTCCAAAATGGATGAGATTTCAGCGCTGCGTTGTGTGCTGGAGACATGGAGTTTACGTGCTGCTAGAGATGCGGCTGGGTAAGCTGCTTTTGTGGCAATCTTTGCAAAGAAAAAAAAAACAATCTCATTAATATTAGAATACGTATCATAGGTAATATTATTCTTCTTTTATAAAAAATCATCTCATACGAATGGTTAATTCCAGTGGCCCTTACAGATTCATTTTAAACCATTGAAGTATAAAAAATCTATTTGTAAACATTTTACGAGTTTAATTCAAATGAAATATATTATTTTTAAAAGCGCAGAGCTTCTTGGCCACGAACATTGTTAAAAGTTCATGTAATTATCATGAACTTATATAATTACATTAGTTGAATAATCAACATTATCAGAGGTCTTCGATATAATGTAAAAGTTGAAAAAAGTTATTGCAAGAAATGTTTATAATATTTGTGAAGTCAAATTGCAAATTAGAATTATTTTTTATTTTTAATTAAATTTATCTAAAGGCAGGTAGTAAACCTAACCTCAAAATCGATAACGTTGTGCCAGAGTTGAGTTCGTTGAGTTTGATTTTCGTGGTGGAAAGAAAATTTGCCGACTGCCAATGTGATATTATGTAATTTATTTTTTGAATATTATTATAATTGAAAAAATACGTATTTTTGGCATTGCTTTAACCGGTGAAATGGAGAATTAATTAATTTTAATTTTCATTTTTGCGGCAATTATATAACCGCACCTGCAGATTTCATGCAAACCAACATTGAGTGCAGTGCTTGCGTAACACTTTCAACGCAAAATACAAAATTTATACAAAAAAACAACTGGAAAAATTATGTTTTTCTATTCAATTTGTTAGCACTTTTTGTTTTGATTTTGAATTAAGCCAATTATTATTTTTTCACCAATTTTCATATTAGCCACGGCAAATTTTCGTTTGCATAATTTGTAAATTTTTCTGAATTTATTATTTTTGTACCTGTGTTGCAGCTTTTGGCAAATTGCGGGCCACCGATGAGGCCAAACGTGCTGAAATCATCGACATTTTTGTTTAAATAAAATATATTTGTCGCTCGCTATAAAGAACTTATTGGACCCAACTCCTCTCCAGACGTAATATTTTAAAGATGGTTGCCGAAATTCGTTCACGTTCACTCTGCGAAAGAACATACATTCAAAGTGATTCGTGCAGTCTTCGTTAAATATTAAACATATGTGTCAAAAAGCATTGCCATACAAAAAACCTAAAGGAAAATGCCGTTCTAAAAATAATTGTATATTTTTCGAAATATTTATTTCCCACAATTTTGCATAATTTTAAAATATTTCATTTTCACAATTTTCAAATTTGTGATATTTTTTCATTTTATTTAAATTTTTGTTTACAAACTTTTGACAGATGATTGGAATATTCGTTGAAATTTCCAATAGGTGTATTCGGTGGCTCGCAAGTACGGCAAAAAACAGCAAGTTGTTGGCCTATGCAGGCCTATACTGGCCGCAATGTATGCAAA